AAGCAGCTACAAGGGGGTAGAACTAAGCACAACGCGCCAGGGGAGGGGTGTCAGATCCGCAGGAGGATGCGAGCAGAGGCACCTCACGCGCCTGACCTGGATCTGGCCGGAAGAGATGAAATGGCTGGCCACCGACCAGCCCGGCCCCACGCCGCCCGAGCAGCCGCAGGAGGTGGCACGACCACCACGCCGAGGCTAGGGATGCAACCCCGACGCCCAAGCCAGCGGCTGGCCCGGATCCAGCGCGCCGGCCAGATCCGCCGGCGAGGGGAGCGCCGGTGAGCGCCATGACCAGGCGCCGGCGAGCTAGCTGCGCGCCACCTCGACGTCCCCCTGCTCCCCCAGTGCTCACCTCGCCCTCGGCATCGAGCTCGGGTGAAAAAGCCACCGAGACGACCCCGTCCACCCGGCCACCACGCGTCCGCCGCGGATCTCCCCGAGCCACCTTCGGAGGCAGGGGCCGCCGCCACCGCGGCGAGGCCAGCGACAACGGCGGAGGAGAGGAGGCGCAGGGGAGGGGGCCACTGGCGACGCGCGGAGTTCCACCGAGCTGCCCGAGCAGAACGACGCGGGGGCTGGGCCTTTCTCGTGGTGGTCTCAACCCTATTTTGAGAATTCACGATGACGCATGTCCACAGTATAATTGTGGATGCTCACAACATGCATTTACACGTGTCCTATCTCTACGGGCGGCAAAATCCGGGTCCCTGTGCCAAACAAAAAAAGTGGGGCCTTATCTCACTGAAAAAAATGAACTGACAGGCAATTATAATGGATACGATATAATGTCTAACTCACCTAGTCTCATGTCGTGTCCGGATGAACTGCTATACTGTGATCTTTAACCAAGAAGGCAAGAACCGATCTCTAACAAAGTAACCATTCCTGTCAATAAGTAATTAGGAATTAGGAGTAGGACAAGCCCGCAGCAGCCGGCAGGAGTAGTTAAACACTTAAACTAGGGCCTGAACCATGCAAGTATTGAATTATTATTTTTGAGAAAACTCACCATCTTTATTCATCCAAAACAAAGGTCATAGGTACAATGTTTGGGTCATGAGGATTGCCCAACCAAACATGTCGACCTACACCTAGGTTACAAGCAAACTTGACGAGATTATGAGCCTTAAAATTAAAATTCCTACACTCATGAATAAAAGAACTGGAAATAAAACAGTTACAACGACTCATTATTTCATGTACTATGGGAACATTTGCAACTCTTGTCCCCTTGATGATATCATTCACCGCTTCTTGACAGTCCGAGGCCAACAAATATTTTGCCCGGCAAGATCATCTGCAAGTGCTAAAGCTTCACAGCAAGCATAAGTCTCCAGGATTAGAGGATCATTGATTCCTTGGAAGACCACGTCCGAAGATCCCAAATATAGGCCCGTTTGGTCTCTACATATTGCCGCAACAGCTCCTCCATTATGCGATCTTGCGATAGCACCATCAACATTAATTTTCACGGCGCCATTAGGAGGAGGTAACCATCGCTCGGGCTGGGCAGATGTAGTTGCTCTTGCACCGCGGTGCTCCTAGCTATTAGCAAGCTGTCCCAACTCTGCAAAGTTATCTACAAAGAAGATTGTTTGTTGGCGAAAGTTGCTTTTGGAGCTCGGCTTCCATGGAGGCCGTTTTTTAAGAAGTTCAAAATTCCAAAAATTTCATATTTTTACATTTAAAAATAATGAAAAAATACAGATATACATGGAGGCATAACACACGTGTGTTAAATTTTCAGGACGAAATACGTTGAAATGAAGGTTGTGCAAAAAAGACAAATTTATGGCCTTTTAACACATGATACTATTCATCTCAAAAGTCGGTGAATTTGTTCTTTTTTGCAGAGATCGCATCTCAAGGTATTTTATCCTGAAATTTTACACACATATACATCACATCCTTGTATACTTGTAAAAAAATATGAATTTTGATTTTTTTTAAAACGGCCTCCATGGAGGCCGAGCTCCAAAATGCCGCTTTCAATTGTTGGGGGCTTTGAAAGATAGACTCATATACTGCCTTGCGTCTGGCATACCATATCGACCATAGAGTGACAACCATACAAGTGAAACTTGCCTGATCCAGTTCCGGGGCGCTTAGATGCCGATTTTGTTTTTTTTCATATTTATTTTTGTCCGTGTTAGCGCCTACGAGCAGCTTGCATTGTTGATGCCCTTAGAAGTTAGGCTAGACTACTTAAATGTATAATAACATGTATATGAACTAGTAATTCAATTTTGAAAATTATATGATGTGGGGGCATTGCCCCCCCCCCTCACGCTAGATTAACCCGGACTTCAAATCTGTGTAAGTGCTGGTCCGCCCATGCTGAGCCCAAGTGTAAATTCTTTGCCTGACTCGCTCTCCATGGAAGAATCCTCATTGCGGGCATGCTGGCTCTGCGTGGTTGGCCACATGATCCCAGGTGTCTACTTTGGTGCCTTCAGGAACCGGAAACAGAAAATCACCTCTGCAAGGATTGCCCCTTCTTGTTTGCGGTTTGGAACCAGGTGAACATGGACGAGCGAGGGTTTATCGATTTCTGGCGACCTCCCTGAGCCAGGAAACATGTCGGAATGGTGGGACACAATGCTTGCAAACCAGTCAATGCAGGTGCACCGGCGGCGCAGCGGGAGGATCATCTACACTTTATGGTCTGTCTGGAAAGAACGAAATAGGCGCGTTTTCACAGGACTACGTTTGACGCACCATGAGGTTGCAATGTTCGCCTTCAAGGCAATTAAACAACGTGAGTTGGCTTTTGCTAAAGCCATGCCAACAATGGGAATTGGCTAAGCTAGCATTGGGTGTGTAGCGGTTTAGGCGATTTTGCCACGTTCCCCAAAAAACGTGTGCCACTTTGTACATCGCGTTTTTTTGCTCTCCCTCTATAAGAAAAGCCAGTGCTCCTGCCGGTTCTTCAAAAAAAAAAAAAAACTGTGTAAGTGGATTCTTTTGCAAACTGCTTGTGGCAGCATCTGCAATGTTGTCTCCGGCCATCCAATAAAAAAATACGGATGTTTTTAGCAGTCCAATTGAAACTCTAGTATATCACCTATTCGCATGTAAAAACTTGCAAAGGATGGTATTTACCTTTGCTGCTGCATGAGCTGCAGCAGCAAGAACTCCAATATGCATGCTATCACTAGACAAGACAAATGATGAAAGGTTGCCTATTTGCTCGGCTGACCCGCAAGAGGAGTAGTTGTTTTGCATCCCTACAATCACAAGAGCAGAATTTAATTGGCACTGATTAACTTTACAAATAGGTTTATTTGTTACATCAATTTTTGAGCAATACCAGGTGAGGAAATAGCTGACTGTCCAACAAATAAATGGAGACCTCGGCATCAACATTATACCTAATAAATAAGACTAAATCACCAACAAGAAGTCTCTTTCTACCGATAAATAGGCTACAGCCAGTAGTCAGCATATGCCTTTTAGGCTGGCCTGGTGAAGAGGAAGAGAGGCAATCATAAAATTAGTGCATTTTTCCTTCCAAAAGAAAACAATCAGATGGATTAAATCATGAAGGAACGGAATTGTAGGCCAAACCAGATAAATTACACTCAGTAAGAGGGAAACATAGGGCGTCCTCTACAGTATGCCACGTCGGATCGAGCGGTGCGATTGGGTATAGGGAATTTTCTCGCTCGTTTTTCCATATGTGCCAGTGCTCGGATACGCCTGCCCCCTCTATCTTTCCTAATGTTTACGGACTCAAATAAAATTACCAGACAACCAGTTGCTCGGTGTTATAGGTTAGGCATGATGTTGGTGATTTTTTGTGCTCTGACACAAATGTGGTATCAAGTTGTTACCCTAACCCTGCGGGTGATGGTTTTGAGTAAATAACTCCGTGGCATCCAATCATGAAAAATAAGGATGTTTTTAGTGGCAAAAAAACGTTGTCTCGAGCCAACCAATCATAAACACGTATTCATAAAATTCACGGTGAGCCTAATAATTTGGCAAATCAACAAAAAAAATACCACAAGAAAAACGTTTCACTAATATAGCATTCATACTGAATGAAGAAGATGAAGAAACTCTGGTAATCCACTTCTGAGTCCAGGCTCAGGTGCACCCACCCTGATGGAAAAAGTCAAAACAAATACTAGAAAAAACTAAAACATTCCAACAAAAAATTGTGATAGATAATTTGATGTGTGAGGTCCGCTCCAATTTGAAATTATTTGGACATATGAGCAGCTCTCGGCAAAAAAGACAAATTCGGGGTCTATAAAAATGTTTACTGTTCACACATTGTTTTGACCCGATTTGTCTTTTTTGCTGAGAGCTACTCAGATGTCCAAATTATCTAAAAATTAGAGCGGCCCTTACACGATAAATTTTCTACCATGTACTCCCTCTGTTCCTGAATATTTGTCTTTCTAGATATTTCAAATGGCTACTACATGCGGATGTATATAGACATATTTTAGAATGTAGATTCACTCATTATGCTCAGTATGTAGTCACTTGTTGAAATCTTCAAAAAGACAAATATTTAGGAACGAATGGAGTAATTTTTTTTAGTATTTTTTATAAAAAAATTTACCGGATGCAGATGAGTCTGAACACCTAAGCACTCCCAAAACACGGATTTTTCACGGGTGAACGGGAGAGCCGTGCAGCGTGGCGAGGCCGTGGCCCCGATCTCGGGCCATTTACGTCGCGCACACGTGGACCGCGCCTGGACCTATCCGCCCCGCCCCCTCCAATCACCGAGCCGCCTCGTTTCTCTCGCCTCGTCACGCCCTCCGCTCCCTCTCAGTCAACAGCCGATCTCCAAAATTTCTCCCCCTCCTCCTCCTCGCTTCTCCATCCTTCTCCTCTGATCTCTCGCCGGAGCCACGACCCCGGCCAGCCTCCGAGCTCACCGAGCCCAAACCCCTATTTATACCCCGGGGAGGCAGAGCAGCATCCTCCATTCCCAGGGGCAGCCAGCCGAGACGTGGGGTGGAGCTTCGGAGCGGGCCGCGGAGATGGGCCTCGTCCACTGCCTCCCGCCTCTGCTCCTCCTCCTGCTGCTCTCGGCCTCGGTCGGCGGGGAGAAGGGCCTCTCGGCCTCTGCCTACGAGGCGCAGTTCGAGGCGTGGTGCGCGGAGCACGGCAAGGCGTACGCGACGCCCGGGGAGCGCGCGGCGCGGCTCGCGGCCTTCGCGGACAACGCGGCCTTCGTCGCGGCGCACAACGCCGGCGCGGCTGCCAACGGAGCGGGATCCCCGTCGTACACGCTCGCGCTCAACGCGTTCGCCGACCTCACCCACGACGAGTTCCGCGCCGCGCGCCTCGGGCGCCTCGCCGCCGGCCCGGCCCCGCTCGGGGAGCCGCGTTCGTCGGACGGGGGCTTCGAGGGCCGCGTGGGCGCCGTGCCCGACGCGCTCGACTGGAGGCAGAGCGGCGCCGTCACCAAGGTCAAGGACCAGGGCAGCTGCGGTGAGCGCCACGCTTCTGAATCTCTTGTTCTACGCTTCACATTGCAGAGCTCTTCTGTTTTTCTCCGTCAGAGTTTTGCTGTCGTTCGTGTAGTTGTTGGGTTTTACTGCGAAAACTTAGAGATCGAGACGTGGTACGAAACGTAAGTGCATCAAAATCATAGTGATACTGAAGATCTGAATGACTGAGGCATTAATGCCGCAAATGATTCTAGGAACTAGAATCCATGGTAGGGAGCAGCAGCTGACACATACTCCCTCCGTTCCGAATTACTCCCTCCGTTCGGAATTACTTGTCGCAGAAATGGATGTATCTAGACGTGTTTTGGTTTTAGATACATCCATTTCCGAGACAAGTAATTCCGAACGGAGGGAGTACTTGTCTTGGATTTGTCTAGATATGGATGTATCTAGACTCATTTTAGTGCTAGATACCTCCGTATCTAGACAAATCTAAGACAAGTAATTTGGAACGAAGGGAGTATAAGCTAACCTTCCTCTGACATATTCATTAGGTAGCCCATTGATTGGTTAGCGCTTGGCATTTAGCAGCATGTTTACCTGAAGTACTTATCATCCGTTTAGTTTTTTCCCAGCCCAATTTGCAAGTTTACTGACTAATTTCTCCAAGCTATGCTCGTTTATAGTCACTTATACTCTTCTCAACTGTAGATCCACAGACTTTGTTGTCCTTGAAAATGTGAAAGATATCAAGGTATTGAAGTGACTACTTTAAAAAATAGATTGATGCCCCCTCCGTCCCATTCCCATAATATAAGATCGTTTTGCAAGCAGATAATTAGAGATCGGATTATGCCTCTAACTCCTTATGTGGTTTGTCGGTGCTGTTGCTTTTTAGGGCTTCCCACACAAGAGAATTGCTTATATTCTTTTTGTTAGCTTTTGCCATGGAAGTAGCTATGTGCTGCTTCAGCATGTAGTTCAGTTGTGCATTACATCTTAAATAAAAATCTCAGGAAAATTTTGTTATTCTTCCAGGCTCCAGCAATCCAGAATTGTAGGTTTGGGGTTATCTTAGGTTGCCCATGGGTGATGGCTATACTGGAAATTTGTAATTAGATATGACAGCAATATAAGAACTGCGTGGTCAGCATTTTTACAAATTAGGATCAAGAATGATACTGAAGAAGTGAAGATGCATCTCTGTTTCCACGAAGTCACTCCTTTGGATTTGTATTGTTTCCTTTTATTCAAGGGCCTTGTTACAAGATACTTGAAGTATTTTTCAGTTTTAACAGTTGGTGCTACCTCATTCCTTATCACTAAACCACAGCAGTACTTCCGGTTAACGTGGTCTGGATTGTCGTTCAGGTGCTTGTTGGAGCTTCTCAGCTACAGGTGCCATGGAAGGAATAAACAAGATTACGACGGGCTCTCTTCTCAGCCTTTCTGAACAGGAACTAATCGATTGTGACAGATCCTACAATGCTGGTTGTGGCGGTGGGCTCATGACCTATGCCTATAAGTTTGTGATTAAAAATGGTGGGATTGACACGGAGGATGATTACCCGTTTCGTGAAGCAGATGGAACATGCAACAAGAACAAAGTAAGATGGAGGTGCAGCCGTGTAGATAACAACCTTGATCATGTTTAGGCACATGATGTGTCATATTCATGCAATTTGTCTGTTTGTTTTGCAGCTGAAAAAGCATGTGGTAACAATCGATGGCTACAAGGAGGTGCCTCCTAGCAAGGAAGACTTGTTACTCCAAGCTGTTGCCCAGCAACCTATTAGCGTAGGAATATGTGGCAGCGCTAGAGCATTTCAGCTATACTCCCAGGTTTGAATGCATATGTGTTCTCACCAACTTATATAACACACTTTTACCACACCTTGTACTTGACTTCCATTATTTTCTTAATTCAGGGTATCTTCGATGGTCCATGCCCAACATCTCTTGATCATGCAGTCCTAATTGTGGGATATGGTTCTGAAGGTGGCAAGGATTATTGGATTGTGAAAAATTCTTGGGGTGAAAGATGGGGAATGAAGGGCTATATGCATATGCACCGAAACACTGGCTCATCGTCAGGTATCTGTGGCATAAACATGATGGCATCGTTCCCGACAAAAACAAGCCCGAATCCTCCTCCTTCACCGGGCCCTGGCCCAACCAAATGCAGCGTTTTTACCTCCTGCCCTGAAGGATCCACATGCTGTTGCTCATGGCGTGCCTTGGGATTCTGCCTTTCCTGGAGCTGTTGTGAACTGGACAATGCAGTTTGCTGCAGCGACAACCGTTCTTGTTGCCCCCATGACTATCCCATATGTGACACAGCTAGAGGACGTTGCTTGAAGGTAAACAAAAGAGGCTTTATGCATTCTTATTGGAGGTTTCGTCATGTTTGCGATTTAGGAACTGACCTGCCTGAAACCCTGATATGGTTAAGCTTGACAATTGCAATAGATCACTCTTCCTTCCATCTTTATTTTTTCTTCATATCCCGTTTCAGTTTTTGTATGTGCAGACTGTGTTATAGCTTTGTAAGTTAGTCAGGTTTCCAACGTGTGTAGACATATACGAAACCGGATAAAGGCTGTGTACCATGATGACTGATCATTTGGTGAATCTACTGCTTCAGGGCAATGGCAACTTCTCCAGCATAGAGGGAATCAAGAGGAAGCAAGCTTTCTCCAAGGTCCCCTCTTGGAATGGTTTGCTGGAACTGTTGGATCAATAGACATACAAAAAGTTACGGATCACAGGTAAGATCATGCCAACTCGATTTGTGCACTACTGTCATTATCATCATCGTTAATGCGATCGCTCCTCCCCTCCTGAACCCCTTACATTGACCATGATCACCTTTTCTCCCAGACAGATACACATGTACGCACGGTCTTATACAAGTGGCGGGGGTTCGCTGCGTTCTTGAAGTGGTCTGCCGCCTTGTATGCTCCCATAGTCTCTAGCTGCCGGCTGTCTTGCAGAGAGAAAAGTGGTGTCCAGAACTCCAGGATCGTAGTGCGTATTGGTGAATCACGCAGCTGGTACTGTATTGTATAATTCTATCTATGATAGTACGTGTCAGGTTAGCCTATGATGGGTTGAGTCAGATATTGGTTACACAGCACAGATGGTCCGTTTTCACTCAGCTTGTATTAGATGTGAAGAGAACCACCCACATAATAATAAAGAGATACGATGCATCAAAAATAGAGATACGTGCTGTTCGTGGCTGTGTTCATGCAACCATGTTTGAACATGGCCGGAACAACTGTACAACCATGGTTAGAGCAACTTCAATGGGGCGACCCATTTCGTCCGTGGCTGTCCGTTTGGGTCGGCGCGGACAAAAAAATTGGCCCAACGCGCCGACCCAAACGGACGCGCGTCCGCCTGCCGGCCCATTTTTGAGCCGGATTTACGTCGGCGCGGACACAAGACGGACGCGCGCGCGCTCGCTCTCTTTCCTCACCGGGCCCCTCGGTAATGTCCTTCTCCGACGTCTAAATATAGGCGTCAGCATGCTGCTTGTCTTCAAAGTCTCAACCCGATGTTTCTCGTAGCTTCAGTTTCAATTGAGCGGCCAGCTTCCGCAAACGCTTGTTCTCCCGATAGGCGGCTTGCTCTGCCCTCCTCGCGTCCCTCTCCAACCTCCTTTGCTTGTAGAACCGGCGCTTGTCGACGATGTCCTGTGGGAAGCGTTTGCGCCACACCACCATGGCTTCCATGTCCATCTCGGCGATGGCGAGGCGCGTCTCCAGTGGACACGACGATCCTCGTCGGTGAAAAGCCGTGGGTGAGGCGCCAAATCCTGCGCCCGCTGGCTCGACACGTCGGGAAAATTCATATCCCGACGAGGCCTCAGGAGGCGCCACGCCGCCGCGTCGTGCGCGTGAGCCGCCTCCTCTACTGTGTCGAAGGTGCCGACGATGAGACGGTTCTCGCGAAACCAGATCTCGAAGGAGAAGGCGCCGGAGCGGCGCTCGCGGACTCCGTGAAAATCCGAAGCGCCCAGGCGGCGGATCGATATGGTGGCGCAGAGGCAGCGAGGTTAGTGAGAGGGGGTGAAACGAGTGGGCGGCGGACAGAGTGTGGAGGGAGCGCCTTCTTATAACGAGCGCCGGCCGTGGCGCGCGCGAACCTTTCCCGCGCGCTAGGCCGCTTTCTCCCGCGCGCGAACCTTTCCCACGCGCTAGGCCGCTTTCTCCCGCGCGCTGGAGCGCCAAAATTAGGGCGACGGCATGGCCGCTGGCATGATTTAAAGCGCGCACGGTCATGAAATGGATCGGCCCGTTGGACGCACTGCCGATCCAAAACTAAAAGAGGGCGGACGGCGGGTGGGCGGCCGACCCAAACGAACAAAAAACGGACAAAAACACCGTCCGTTTGGGTCGGCCGTTGGAGTTGCTCTTAATCTTTGTTAACTTGCTATGGTTAATCTTAGCATGGTCACATCGTTCATCTTTTTTGGGAGCTTCTTGGGTTAACCTTGCTCCGCCCGAACCGAGAAGGTGACGCTCAGTGAAGAACGCGTTCACCCACGGCTGGCGGCAAAAGAGGCCATCCATCGCACGGGCGAACATATTCCCAATCCCGACCTCGATACACCGTCCAAAGGGGCAGCATGCGGCGAGCCACCCATCCATCCCAGCCGAGCGACCTGCGATGCCTGACGGGATGGGCGCCGGCGCCGGAGCCGCACACGGACCAACCTGGCCACGCCCGGCTCCGGTCGGAGCACGCGCGCCAAGTGCTTCACGATGATTCATTCCCCCGCGGCAAAGCCCACCATCTCAAACAAACCCGTGTTCTTCTCCGTTGGTGCCGTGCCGTGTGCCATCACCACCAGTCCACCACACTGCCAAATTCCTTCCTTATTCGTGTGCACTTTGAGACAGCAAACAGGGTGACAATTTTTCCACCATGTCAACCAGAAAACGCATCAAAAATCACTCTCAAAAAACAGGAAGACACGCACCAGAAACACCACATGATCAGCATGCGCTCGCCCGCGAAAGGCAGAACAAACAGGGAATCCCGCAAAGGGAATTTCTGTTTAGCCCAAGTCATCTACTCATCCACACACTCCAGAAAGTCATTCCAGAAGGCCAGGTGAAAGGCAAATTTTTGCGTGGAAAATAGCTACAAAAGGGTAAATAAATTCTCAGTTCTCCAATTACCGAATTTCTGCGCGGCACGGCGGATGGGCGAAAGGAGAATATATGGCAGACTGGGGAAAAGATTGGGTTGTTCTCCATTTTGTGGAAAGATTGCGTTGTTCTCCATTTCGCGTGAATTGGCTCCAGCACGCCGGCGAATCCGGTTCTCCCGGTTGCTTTCAGTTCTCCTCAGCCGTTAAACGCGGCTGCCTGCTTTTCGCCTCGCCTTCTTGCTCCGGCGATCCTATAAATTGGGCAGGTCGGTGTTTCTTCGTGTGTCAGTAAGCTCACAAGTCACAACGCAGTAGCGGCAAGGTGGTAGTAAGAGGAGGCACAGTTTTTGAACCCTCCATCTCCAAAGTGTTTGAGCCTATTGGCACGAGGAAGAAATGGTACACTGCTCTGTTTCTGCTCATGACCTTGTGTCTGCATGTTTAGTTTCCTTGCTTTCCAGAACATCTGTGTGTGAACAATGGAGAAATTAGATTCTGAGCACGAACAAAATCTTCAGAGATGTTGTTTGGTTAAGGATTAGAGTGAACATTTGAAACCCCTGAGGCTTTCATTTTCAATTTTTTTAAAAAAGTTGAGTTGTACCGTAGGCCTCTAGGAAAAACCCATGGGTCTCTAGAGATTGTTCGGATCAACAGCTGATACTTTTCTGTTGTCCATGGAAAGCTTGCTGACTGAATGTCGTGACATCAATTTGATTTCAGACGCAATGACATATAAACACATTCTTTTCCTCATGGATATGTAGTTTCTAGCGTTCAAATCCAACGATCATGCTCTAACCCAAAATCTTGGTGTCCTTGTCTGACAGAGCATCATGAGCGCCGCCAATGGGAAGAGCCCCATAGTGGTTGGGCCCTGGGGAGGGACAGGAGGATACC